CAATGCCAGTCTTTCGTTTCGCACCATATGATATGTCCATCGGCTTGCTGCCACAGTCCATACCAAAAATCAGTTTGATGTCGCTGTTGTGTATGTTCATCTTCTTCTCCCCAATGTAGAAGACATCTTTTGAAGCTTTGTACATTTGTAGTACATGCACAACAACATCATCATACTTCATGCATTTGTCAAGGTCGATCTGATTATTTCTCAATGCATCAAACAAATTCCAAAAAGGTGTTTGTTGAAGGCACCGAAGCTGTGCTTGTGTGAACTTGGTGGTTTTCATTAATTTGACCAGTCTGGTCATATTAGATCTGTAGTTCACATGGCGCATGTCGACATTGGTGCAAGTATTTGTTTGTGGGGTTTCTTCCTTCACATGGTACTCATCTCTTTTTCTCTTTGCGGTTTTCTTTTGTGCGACATCTGCAAAATGGAGCATTTAAAAAAAATTAAGTGAAGGCTCATGTGATTAGCATAGTGGAACAGATGTGAACATTCACAGCATTTCCACTGATGTGCATGTTCACAGTTGTGTGCGTGGATGTGAATCACCAGAGTTTGTGTGGTTGTGAACATTCATATCTGTACATGAATGTGTATGTTGACTGTGTCAGCACAAACACAATGTATATATTGTGTCAGTGTGTGGAAAACAATGTATTTTTATACAACCATGAACACCATTGAAGAACATGTGGATGTTAACACAAACATATAAAATGATGGATCAACTTATTGGATCACCATTAACAATCAACAATACCAACAAGGCAAACATTCACAATAGGGGGAAAAGAATCTAAATATCCCTATTCATTGGCCTAATATTTTTCAATCCATGTGAATGTTCACAGCATAGAACAACAGCACCAATAATTTCTGATTGTCCTAAAATTTTCAGACATGTGAATGTTCACAGCATAGAAGAATAGCACCAATAATATTTGATTGTCCTAAAATTTTCAGGCAATGTGAATTTTCACAGCATAGAACAACAGCACCAATAATATCTGACTCTCCTAAAATTTTCAGGCAATGTAAATGTTCACATCCTAGAACTACAGCACCAACAATATCTGACTATCCCAAAATTTCCAGGCAATGTGAATGTTGATAGCATAGAACAACATCACCAATAATATCTGACTCACCTAAAATTTTCAAGCAATGTGAATGTTCACAGCCTAGAGCTAAAGCACCAATAATATCTGATTGAACTAAAACTTTCGGGCAATGTGAATGTTCACAGCCTAGAACAACAGCACCAATAATATCTGACTCTCCTAAAATTTCCAGGCAATGTGAATGTTGACAGCATAGAACAACAGCACCAATAATATCTGAATCTCCTAAAATTTTCAGGCAATGCGAATGCTCACATCTTTTAACAACAAGAACAACAAAATAAACCAATAATATCTTATTGTCCTAAAATTTTCAGGCAATGTAAATGTTCATATCTTTCAACAACAAGAACAACAACAGAATTGGCCAAAGAGTGTCAATGCATGTGAATTTTCACAGCATACAACAACAACACCATTAATACCTGATTACCCAAACATTTTAACTCAATGTGAATGTTCGCATCTTTTATCAACAGCAACAAAACAGAATTGGCCAAAACATTTTTGAAACCATGTGAATGTTCACAGCATTGAACAACAACCGAATAACATCTGGAATAATTTGATTATCAAACCATTTTCAATCAATGTGAATGTTCACAGCTTTCAATAACAACAACTACAACCAAAACATTTTCGAATGTTCACAGTTGTGAACACAATGTAATGGCAACTGTAATGTTTTTGATTGCAAAAATCAATAAAATTAGGGATTACAATTGAGGGGTTCAGAATAAATGATAGGGTATGAACAATATGGACTCCTATATATTGTATGCATAGGAAAAGGGGATATTTGTAAAAGTTCACAATGTTGGTTGTTGATAAAGAGGTTTAGGGTTTAAATACACGAATGAGTAGAATGCTTACGTTTTTTGCCCATTTCGACGACAAAGATGTTGAGACGAAGGGACGATGCGATGAAGGAACGTATACAGTTTTCTGGGCGTACGAACGACGAAGAAGATAATGAGACGATGTGACGATGGAACGGAGACAGTCTTCTCGGTGTAGGGACGACGGAGAAGATGATGAGACAATGCGACGATGCAACGATGGAAGGAATACAGTCTTTTGGGCGTTGAGGCGATGTGGAATATGGTTTTGGATTTCTGGACTGTAGAGGTACTGTGCGTGATTTCCTGCGCAAGAATATAGAGGGGAAGAGAGACAGTTATTAGATTCAAAGAGAGAGAGAGAGAGAGGCGCGTGTTTTTTTGAGGGCTTTTTTGGTCTTTTTGTATGAAATGGACCTAATGAAATATTATAAAACACTATGGGTTTTATGGAGTAACACTCTTAGATAATGGATTTACTAAAAAAACACCCTTAATTGTAAATAGAAACTACTCCAAACACTCTAAATAATAATAATAATAATAATAATAATAATAATAATAATAATAATAATAATAATAATAATAATAATAATAATAATAATAATAATAATAATAATAATAATAATAATAATAATAATAATAATAATAATAATAATAATAATAATAATAATAATAATAATAATAATAATAATAATAATAATAATAATAATAAATAGATGTTCTCATAGTATCTTCAATCATTCATCATTTTTTTTATATATTTGATTTAACTCTAAATGTAAATAAAAAAATTAATTTAATATAAATTACTTCAATTTTTTTTTTTTATCAAATTTTCTTCCTAACCCTTTTAATTTTATTTTTTTTCCTCTTAGGCTGTATTTGGTTAGAGGATTTGATGAGATAAATAGAAAAAGAAAATGAAATACAATCCTACTTTTTGTTTGGCTATAATGGAAAGCACCAGGAAGAGAAAGTGAGAGGAACATACAATCTCACTTTTTATCTTTTGGGTTCGCATGTTTGGTTTATAGATTTGGATATAGATTTGAAAAAAGAAATGAAAAAAGTATGTGAAATATAGTTATATTTGATTTATATTTTACCTACATTTTTCCTTTGGATAGTGCCAATATTTTCCACATTTTTCTAAGGGCTCCCCAATTTCTTTAAACCCCACTTATAAAATTTAGGGTAAATTACAAACACCCCTGGAGGTTTACTTAAATTACAAATTAGCCCTTATGGTTTTAGAAATTACATTATGCCCTATAAGGTTTCTAATTTCATAACAATAGGTCATTTTATTAATGAATCATCAAGTTAATTAACAGTTTTTAATAATGTTAAAATTTTATTTCAATTAATAATTCAGATAATTTTATTATTGTATAGGTGAACAGTTAGAAATTTCACTTTTTCAATTAATTCTGTTAAATAAAAAATTCTGACAGGGAGATATTTGTAATTTTTCAAACTATAGAGGACAATTCGTATTTTAAGCAAATCTCAGGAAGTGTATTTGTATTTTACCCTAAAATTTAAACATTAATAAAAATTTATAAGGATCCCCACATAATACTAAAACTCTCCCTATCCAAAATATTACACACCTACCCAGGTTGCTACTTCATCTTGGGTGAACACTATTTTCTTTGATCTCGTGATAAAATAAAAATAAAAAATATATCGTGTTCATACTCTTTTATCAATTATTATTCATTATACCCACTCATGTTCATTTATCATCCAACACAAAATTATAATATCCTACTTTCTCTATCAATCGTAATATTATGGAGTATCCCATGGCCATACTTCGAGAGTACCTAATGATCTCCCCCTCAAAAAAAGTGGGGCTATTAGCACTACCATTTTCTAGGGGTGTGAAAATGATTTGCGACCTGAAGTTCGCCTGCGGCCCGGTTAGGCCCAGGCCCGAGCTCGGCCGAAATGCTTGGGCCTAAGCTGTCATTTTAAAGCCTGACCTGATTCGCCTAGCCCGGGCCATCGGCCCGCTCAAGGCCCAGTCAAAGCTCGGCTTGAGGCTCGGCTCGTGCCAAAGCCTAGTGTCATTTTTAGTAGAAAAGAATAGAATTTCGATAGGAAAAAAAAATGTCTAGGCCTGCCCAAGGCTCGAATACCCTCTCGGCATGAGCCTAATTTTTTGGCCTGGTCCGAATTTTGGAGCCTAGGCGATCCAATAGGGCTCAGGCCAAGCCCAATTTACATTCCTACCTTTTTCCTTTCTATTTCTAAATCTTGTACCAAATCATTGAACCAAATACAACATTAGATTTTTTTTTCTTTCTCCAATTCCTAATTTAACTAAACATAACTTGAAATTCGAGCTCTATCAATTTTTCCCCCTTTGCTTTCTATTTCCCGTCATTTTTACATTTCTTTAATCAATCCTCAAAACACAACATTAGTCTTACTACAAAATTTTAGGCATCTTTTGAGAAGTGAAAAGAAATGATGCTTACTAACTTATTGACTTATTCAAATAACATTATTTATTTATTTTTTTACATGTCTTTTCATAATAATAATAAAAAAATAACTCTTTTTTGCGCTTCTCAAAACAAGCATGCGCATTTTGGCAACAAAAATAAGCCTTACCTTTTCCTAATTTTTTTTTTGATTTTTTTTCAAAATTATGTCAATTTCTATTTTTTATTTTTATGGCCTATCTTGTCAAGATGAATTTAAAAAATATAAATTTTTTGAATTTTTTTTAAAAAAATAACTAAAGACAAAAATAAATAAAAAAAACTACTTATTTTGACTTATTTTTGTCTTTTTTGATTTTTTAAAGGAATTATAATTTTGTGGTTCGTGTTATTAAGCTGAATCTAAAAACTTAAAGTTTTTTGAAATTTTTTTAAAAAAAAAATTCACAAAGACGAAAATAGGTTAAAAAAAAAAAAAACCAAAAAATACACTTCCCAAAATACCCCTTAATTTCATCAAATTGGTTATAACAACCCCCATCAGGCATTCAGTCGTTGTCACCACCAACCCCACTCGCTGACCACACACCCCAACCCAAAACCAGAAGACAAATCTAACTAGTGCGTGATGCGTTAGACACAGAGAGAGAGAGAGAGAGAGAGAGAGAGAGGATGGCAATGGCGATGGCACTTCGCAGACTCTGCTCTTCCCTCAATAATAACCCTCTTCTTCACCGTCTACCTAATGGAGCTCCCCTCTATTACATGGTCTCTATATCTGTACATACACACACATATATTCATTTCATTTTTCACTTTGTCTCTTCATTTTCTTCCTAATCGTTTATGTTTGATCTATTTTATACAGTCTTCTTTGCCCAGCGAAGCAGTCAGCGATAAAGAGAAGCTTCGTATCACTGTATTCGATTTCTCATTCAATCTCTTTTCTTTTTCATTTTCATGCCAATTATTCATAATGTAATATTTGTTTGCTACATACATTTATTCAAGATCTATGATTTCTTAATATTGGATCTTGTATTGGTTGTTGAATGAATGAATTGACAGTGGACAAGTCAATTGAATGCTCCACTCCAAGAGGTAGATCCAGAAATCGCCGACATCATTGAACTTGAGAAAGCTAGGCAATGGAAGGTCAATATTCACTCAATTTTTGCATATCAGACTAAATTTGTTTTCATTGATTTGATATATATTCCTAGACCTAACACCTTGATAATGTGATATTGATGTGTAGTTTATGAATTTGCAATTTGGTCTCCTTTGACATTAATCATAATTGGAAATTTGATAAATTGTGGGTGGGCAGGGACTTGAACTCATTCCATCTGAGAATTTCACATCAGTTTCGGTGATGCAAGCAGTTGGGTCGGTCATGACTAACAAATACAGTGAAGGGTATCCTGGTGCTAGATACTATGGAGGGAATGAGTATGCGATTCCACTTTCATTCCCATTTCAAATTCATATATTGAACCGGTCATTTTTGTATTTACCTTTCGCTTCTAACCTGATTTTTATTATTAATTTTGATAATTAACGTAGGTTTTACATAATTTAAGGTACATCGACATGGCAGAGTCCCTATGTCAAAAGCGTGCTCTGGAAGCTTTCCAGTTGGATCCTGCAAAATGGGGAGGTAAATGCATTACACACTTGATTTGTGCTATCAGTGTCGGTAATGCAAGCAGTTGGGTCGGTCATGACTAACAAATACAGTGAAGGGTATCCTGGTGCTAGATACTATGGAGGGAATGAGTATGTGATTCCGCTTTCATTTCCATTTCAAATTCCTATATTGAACCGGTCATTTTTGTATTTACCTTTCGCTTCTAACCTGATTTTTATTATTAATTTTGATAATTAACGTAGGTTTTACATAATTTAAGGTACATCGACATGGCAGAGTCCCTATGTCAAAAGCGTGCTCTGGAAGCTTTCCAGTTGGATCCTGCAAAATGGGGAGGTAAATGCATTACACACTTGATTTGTGCTTGTTTGTGGCAATGAAAACCTTTGCATCTTTTTATTTCCTTTGGTTAGCTGGGGCCTTTCCAGTGCTAGTGCATTTTAAATGTTTGGAGATATAACGGAGCGATAGCCTCATTGGAGAAACAATAAACAGAAGTTAATGGTCACACCATGATCTGATCTCTCTCTACTTTAAATAAAGGATAAAATTTTCATGAAGAGAAGGAAAATATTAGAGTGGATATTTGAAGAAGCAGAGAAGCATAAAAATTAAAATATGAGGAGAAAATAATATTGAAGGGTTTCGTGAATACTTTTGTGTTGTGAAGAAGCATATAAGGTCTGTCAAGAAACCCTTCTAACATCAAAGTATTGAGTAATTACTGCTTCAAATTAATGTCAAAACACAACTCTAGGAATATGACAACTCATCTTTTTTTACCATTTTGTCTTTCCAAAACTCCACTGTCTATAGATTTTAGCATTATATTTGATTTTTATTCCCCCTAAGGAAAACTTTTAAGAAAATAAACATCAAAAGATTTTGGGATCACCCTGAATATAAAATTCACCGATTTAGAATGAAAGTACACACCATGTTTCAGAACGTGCATTCCAAAACATAAATTGTTAGGATATTAGCTTTTTTTGGTTAACATTGGAGTGGATATTTGAAGAAGCATTGAAGCATAAAAATTAAAATATGAAGAGAGAATTGAAGGGTTTACTGAATAATTTGTGTTGTGAAGAAGCAGGGAAGGTCTGTCAAGAAACCCTTCTTATTTGAGTCATTTTTTAAGATTTCTAGAGAATGTTCTTGGATGGACTCAACATTTTTTATTTATATTTCTCAGCAGTGGATATTTTAAATCCATTAGGAATAATGTCTGTATTGGACAATTAGAATGCACATTGTGGAACTTCTGCTGAAAAGCAGGCAAAGGAGGTAAGAAGAGGGGAAACAAGTGGGAAATCAGAACTGAAAGTTGAGGCTTTTTTTGCCAATAGTTCTCCGCCAAAATTCAGGAAAACAGTTGTTTCGCATCACTGATTGCTGGTTTTCTAGAAGTTAAGTTGGTCTGGGAAAGGCATTACTAAAACCTTGTTAGTTTTTCATGCCTAATATTTTAAGTGATGCAAAACGTATATCTCTAGTATCATATCTTCTGATTCTGTATGACAATCTAGTAATGTCAAATTAGGAGGTGCTGCAAGGACAGTGAGATGATCCTGTTAATCATTGGTCTGAAGTTGTTAAATTTCTCGGTTTTGCCTTTGTCTCCCCTCATTATTATTTCATTTTTTAAATCATCTCTCTCTCTCTCTCTCTCTCTCTCTCTAAGTGAATTGTATTTTGAGCAATGGATTTTTTTAAAGTACAACACCCCTTATTTCTTGCAGTCAACGTCCAGTCATTATCTGGATCCCCTGCTAATTTTCAAGCTTACACTGCACTATTGAAACCTCATGAGAGAATTATGGCGCTTGATCTTCCTCATGGTGGACATCTTTCACATGGATATCAGGTGCATGGTCTTTTCTGCTTAACTTCTTTGAGCTGGAATTAGTGGTTATGTGCCAATCCTAGTGATTGCAGTGAAGAAAACTGCATATTGCTCTATTTTTGGTGCATATATATATATATATATATATTTTAAATTTACTTGAAAAATAGAAATATCAGGAACAAGATATGTTGAGAATGCCTTTCATTACCCTTGAAATATTATTAAGTTGAAAGAATAACTGTTGGCTTATGCTCATCTTCTAAGTTTTTTGTGTGAAAATTTCCATTGATAGTGATAAAGAGATCGAATTTATACACCACAGCAGCTAGATCTTCATAAGTAACGCTTTAGATATCATGAAGTGTCAGATGTAGCACACATATAATCTTAATCTTGTCCAGGGAGAAAAATTCCCCTGATTTTCTTCTAACTGCCCAGCCCAACAAACAGTGCTGCCTTGGTGTTTCGTAAATTATAGCAATTAATTATCTTTATCCATTGTTGAAATTTCAGCCATTGTCATCAGTTCTTGCTCTGTAGAGGAACCTTTTTGGGTAAGTTACTGTCAAGGAATCATGAAACCCTTTTGAGAGCACAATCCAATGAATTACGGATCACTGTGAATGAATACTGGAGTCATAATTGAAATTTCTTTTTTCCCACCTGTCTTATGATTTGGTTCTACCTTCCACATGGAACTACAACTGTGTTTATGAATTTATCAGGACATCTCATGAAGAATAACGAAAGCATTATTTAAAAGTTAAGAATTAACATGGAAAATAGTTTTTCTGCTATTACACATACTTTGTATCAACCTATCCATGTAGATATGTAGCACTGTCAAACTTGGGTATTCAGTCAAGAGAGAGAGACACGAACAACTCTCTCATGCTCTCGACCCTGTGATTCAGGCTCATGGCCCAAAAGAAAAGCACGTGACACACATGTAACCACATATGCTAATATAATATGCGCTCAGCATAATTGTATCCAGTTTTTATAGCTCAGTGTATGTAATAAATCTTCCTTTTTATGATCCTCTGGAACTCCCCAATTACCACTCAATAGTCACAGACTTGAAGATGTAGTAAATGTCCTTACATTTTCTGGATACACAAACGACGATTCTTGTTGATTATGAGGGTCTATGCATTAGTAGGTCAAAACCTTGAAATTGTTTCAATGGATTGAAATTGATATCCTTCTTGTGGTCTGCAATGAAATGTGTTGATCGCACGTGGGACATAATTTTTGGTGAAGGAAAATTCATAACAGCTTATTTGATAGGTTAATTTTTGTCATTCTTATGCCATTTTGCAGACTGACACCAAGAAGATATCGGCTGTCTCAATATTTTTTGAAACGATGCCATACAGATTGGATGAGAGCACCGGTTATATTGACTATGACCAGGTAATTTTTTATTCTCTTTGTGGGAAGATTTTGTTTCCAATTGAAGCAAATTGCTTTCTTCTATGTTGTTAGTTAAAATTGATTACATTTGATCCTACATCAGATATTGAAGAAGTCAAAGAAAATAATGAATTTCATAAAAAATCTGCCATAAAACTGGTCCCATGGTTGCGATGTAATTTGTAAAAGTTAATATACCATATCTAGATAGGATTCTAAAACTACCTGTTGTGCAAGGTTTCCCCTTATTTTGTATCCTTACATCCATCTTTGTCCATATGTTTGGGGGTAGTTCAGTTATACACTTTTGTTTCCCTGGATTTTGTCAGCTTTGGTTTGTAAAACGAGTTCACTTTTTCATTTCAGTTGGAGAAAAGTGCCACACTCTTTAGGCCAAAATTAATTGTTGCTGGTGCGAGTGCTTATGCACGCCTTTATGATTATGCACGTATTCGCAAGGTAAACTCCCTTGACTGACATTATTATAACCTTAGTCAACAACAGATTTATTTTTCTTCTCTTATTTTTATTTTTTTAAAATTTTTTTTCCCTGTTCATGTATATAGAAATCATGAGATATTATTTCCAATTGATTTTTCAGGTTTGTGACAAGCAGAAAGCTGTCTTGTTGGCAGACATGGCCCACATTAGTGGGTTGGTTGCTGCTGGTGTTATCCCATCCCCTTTTGAATATGCAGATATTGTGACCACCACAACACACAAGTCACTTCGTGGTCCACGTGGTGCAATGATCTTCTTCAGGAAGGGGGTGAAAGAGATTAACAAACAAGGACAAGAAGTAAGCTGTAATTTTGAAATTAGTGAATAAGGGGAAAAAAAATCACTTGATCTTGATTATTGGTTACTTGGTTGCCGTTTGGTAACATTTACAATTTACTGTTTTTTGATTATAGAAAACATTAAATATGCCTATGTTTGTTTTTGGTAAAAAACAAAATAGAAACCAAACGAGTTTTTTATTTATAGTTTTCAAATTTTTTGTAAATATAAATAGAGAACTGTAAACATAAACGTTACCAAACAGGCTCATAGGTTGCCATTTTTTCAGTTATTTGGTTGCTTTTGTTGTTGCCTTTTAAGTTCCAATGTGACTAATCAGGAACAATGCTCTTTTTGTGTGTGCGCGCTATCTACAGGTGATGTATGACTATGAAGACAAAATCAATCAAGCTGTCTTTCCTGGACTTCAAGGTGGTCCCCATAATCATACTATTTCTGGTCTGGCAGTTGCACTGAAGCAGGTTAAAATTCTTTCACACTTTTGGTTGTATTATAGGAGGCCTAATTTATAGTTTTATTTTATCTTGTTGAAGCCAAGCTGACATTTTTTCATTTCTCTGATCATTATGTGACTGTAGGCCATGACACCAGAGTACAAGGCCTACCAAGAGCAAGTTCTTAGTAATTGCTCAAAGTTTGCTGAGGTACTATACAACTTTGATTTTAGCTTGAAGACCAGTTTTATTTGCATTGCAATGTTCCACTATTACTTGCTGTCACTGACGTTTTATGGGTCTGACTGAGTTTGTTGTGGTAATTTACGCATTCTAAAAGTCCACTGCTTCTGCAGAGTTTGCTAGAGAGGGGCTATGAACTCGTGTCCGGTGGTACTGATAATCATCTGGTCTTGGTGAATTTAAGAAACAAGGTGAGACGATAATATATTTTCTTTGTTTTCCAACTGCTGATGCAGTTTTTCTCCCCAAGAATCATTTTACTTTTGACACTATGAAGAAGAGAGTTATTAGCAATGAGGTTGATTCCAACCAAACGTGCCATATATTAGACGAGCATCATGTAGAAACTCTGTACCATTTGCTTGTAAAAAGTTTCCAGTAAGAAGATGGGCAATTTGCATATTATTACTGATTTGACCAACAATTTATTTATTTATTTATTGTTATATAAACATTCTGTGAGGGAATTTTTCCACAAGGATATCCCTTTCATTGCATCATATGGCACACGAGTTGTACATATATATATGCACAAGAAAATGTGCACACCTGATAGGTGTGAAGTTATAAAATGTGAAATTGGCAGTTATAGGGGTAATTTAAGAATAAAAAAAGTTGTGACCTAGCTTTACTGATAGATTGTACGCTTTATATAATAGTATAGACACATACATATGCATAATTGGGAAAATTAGGGTCATCTCAAGTTTCTATGAAATCTACATCCGAGAGAAATTGAATTAGATGTCGGTTCATGTGGGTCCTGAAGGGTTTTAGCAAGGGTAACTTGAATACTCATTTCTTTTGGAAATTGCTTTGTACAGGGTATTGATGGTTCTCGAGTTGAGAAAGTTTTGGAATTGGCGCACATTGCAGCCAATAAAAACACTGTTCCTGGGGACGTGTCCGCCATGGTCCCTGGTGGTATTCGTATGGGTAAAGCCCTTCTACTTTGATCATTTTGCATGTACTAATTATTTCTAATTACTCCATCATGAATAACTCTTGTTTAACTGGTGATTCAGGAACTCCTGCTCTCACATCTAGGGGATTTGCCGAGGAGGATTTTGTTAAAGTAGCTGAGTTCTTTGATGCTGCTGTGAAATTGGCCTTGAAGATAAAGGCTGATACCGAAGGTTTGTATTTCTATCAACCATCTTGTAGACATACATCGTCATCTTCAGAAGTGATTATTCATAGTCAGAAATTTTTATGTCGCAATGTTGTTTGCTGACTGCACACTGGTTGGATTCTGAAATCAGGACCAAAGTTGAAGGACTTTGTGTCAACTATGAAGTCAGATGCTCACATGTCTGAGATTGCAAAGCTCCGTCATGAGGTTGAGGAGTATGCCAAACAATTTCCCACAATTGGTTTTGAGAAAGAGACGATGAAATATAAGGACTGAAACAAATTATCTTTATGGTGCTAGGTATGTTTCACCCAGTGGACTATTTGAACAGATATTTTAGATTTGTTGTCATATTATAATTGAGTCATGAGCTAAGAAGCACGAATACGTGACACGACACGGACAAGCGGACACGTAAATTTTCAAAAAATGCAGAAATCGACACGTTGGGGACACGTTCAAACATATATTTTCATATTTTATTATACGTATATTTTTAAATATTTAATTTTAACAAATTTATCAACCTTAGGAATGCTATTTTGGTAAAAAAATAAAAAATTATAATTTTTTTGAAAAAAATAGTACTCAGCGAGTTAGCATGTCCCTAGAGTGTTCCTTGTATGTCCTCAGCGTGTTCCTAGCTTGTTCTCAACGTGTCCCAACGTGTCTGCAGGTGTCCAACTCCTTCCAGTGTGTCCGACATGTGTCCGGCTTGTGTCCATATCTGAAACGTGTCGGACACTTGTACGCGACCTCCGGAGAGGTGTCCGTGCTCTATAGGTCATGAGAATTCATTTGGTCACTTGTCCTTAATTTTTAAACTTTTATTGGAAGGTTGGTCAGTATATATCTATTATGTAGGAGTATAAATTGATGGTGTAACTAATATCTCAAATATCAAAATGCGATGCAATACATTGAGATAATTTATCAATATTATTTTATATTTACAATGTAGGCAATATGGCTATTGATTGATCTAGACTCTAGATACATATTTAATGAAAAATGCTATGAACCAGGACTTATCAACCCATAATTTGTCAAGAATGTGTTTGTATGGTGGAGATTAAATTGATGAAGTGTGGGGTCCATGAGAAAATAAATTTCAACCATTGATTCCTTTTTCTGGGTAAATTTTGGGTTCTAAGTCTGGGTTTGTAGTCTTGTTGATATTTAATAGCATACGCCATATGTTTTCTATTTGTTTTTAGTTTGCTATGCAGTTTGCTATGGTCTTTGAAAATCCTGGTCGATTTTTGCTGTCTTGATGTTGAACATTAGAACCAACTTGCATGTTAGTGCTAGTGTCAGTTAAAATTTTGAGTCTCTGTTGGGTTCTTTTATGTTTAACCTGCGTCACTTTTTTATCTTTAGAAGTAGCACTTAGCTGCTTTATGTCTTTTTTGTTGAAATTAAGGTATTGAAATTGAAGCACATATAATATCCTAATAATTACGACAAATTCCAACCTTCCTTTTAGTCGTGTTTTCATACTCTTCACATGTTCCAAGTTCCATAAAACATTTTTGCATATACATAACAGTTTTTCCTCGACATCAACTTATGTGGATATGTATTTACCAATGTAATTATATTGTGTAGAGTTTGATATTTGATAATTTATGTATTTATTAACATGTAAAATCTTGTTTTGGAAAATGGCGTGCGTCATCTTCTTCAATCCATTTCAATGACACAAGAAAAAGAATAAATGCATTTATTTTTCCATATGCTGAACATTAATCAGAAACAATGGCTTTTGTACTACATTTATGCTGTACAACATTATTTCCATGTCATGGATCCATCTCACACCCTTTCGTTTTTGTATCCATGTTTGTCGTTAAACAGATTCATATAAAAATGGGCTTCTTTTTACATCAATACAGGCATGGGAGAATTGTAGTATGAAGATTTATATATGCTCATCATGAGGAAAGCATGTTGACCATACATCTGTAGCAGCAGCATGCTGCAAAAATTTGGATTTACATCTTACTTTCGCTCATTGGAAAGAGGAAACTCGGGCTATTTTATTCACTCCACATGTAAATTTTTGAATTTTACTTGATGTCACGCAATGTAATAACTTTATGAAGTTACTTTTATTTAAGCCATTAAAACCCATTTAAGTCTCATTTGTGGGGATCAAACAATCACGCAACTTGCATTCTTCGTTTTACGTATTGAATTATGGAGTACATGTTTTCTAATGATTCCCTATTGCTGGCATAGCAAGGACTATGGAAATGACAACCGATATGGAGAGATTGCATTTAGGGCCTAGGTAAGCAAAACTGCAAAAAAAAAATTAGTGCAGTTTTGCAGTTATGCTGCTGAGCACAATGTGCAAAGAGAAGTGATGAATGGCTCGGTAGAATTTTGAAGAGTTAAAGATGACAGCAGAAGTGCATGGCGGGGGATTCTTGGCATGTACATGGTGAATTCAGGAATCATTGTTTGAAAACCATTAATTTCTATGAGATCAAAGCTCAGATTGACTCAGTTTTGACTGTTACAAGGCATGATACCGAATCTGTATGAAGTTTTCAAGGCCACTCAGGATTTATGATGTTCTATTAGCTCCACATTTCTTCTTCCAATTGAGAAGATGATATACATAAAATAAAGAACACAATAATGCTACAATGATCACCACCAGGTCATACCATGTGATCTTCCAACCATTGGTTCAATAGGCCCCACATGTAAAATTGTGGGAGCCGAGTAGAAATAAATCCAATATCGGCAAACAGAGTATATCCAACCCCATCTTTGATGGGCCAAATTCAACCAAAGCCCATTAGACTCAAAGTTATTGCTGAGTAGATACAAAAAACAGGATGAAGAGCGTGCCGAGTTGAGGGTACCTAGGTTGAACACCTGAGTCGAGTACATTGAGTAAGTTGGCACAACCCTGTTAGGTGAATCCAAGCTGGCTCTTTGTAATGAATATGGTAGGGACAAGGGCCCTGACAAAGGGATGATGAGGGCTTAAACTACAGGTAGGGGTGTGCACAAATCCGAATAACCTGCACATCGGACCCGACCTGTCTGACCTGTTCATGCTACGGGCAGTTTTGAACAACTTCATGGTCGGTTGCAATTAGAAATCTACACTTTTATTTGATTTTCGATCGGAGATCAGCTTTAATAAAAAAAATATTCACTCAACTCGATCGGACCGAAACACACACACATATATATATGTGTGTGTGTGTGTGTGTGTGTGTGAGAGAGAGAGAGATTTAAATATGAGAACAACAATGCTACGTAAAACGACGTCGTTTTGACAGGTTTGAGCTATTTTAACAACAAAATTTTGGACTATCAAACATTTTCCATATGAGAAAGCAGAGACCATTATTATATTTGTCCTTTTGAAAAAGTTTATATCTTCTCAATATTTCTTATCTTCCCAAGGCATTTGATTGACTTCCCACCTACCCTTTTGTCTCTCCCACATCAATCCTCTAACATTTCATCTCTCATTTCTCTTAAACCTTTCATCTCTCTTCTTGAAAACAAACCCATCTCTCACACTATCTTCCTCATCTCTACTGTTTTATTTTATTTTTCTTCCCAATACAATATTTCTCATCTTCCAAGTTGAAGCCATGTATCTGACATCCCAACCACCCTTTTGTCTCCTCACGTTTTCATCTCTCTTCCTCAACCTTTTCGGCTCCCTCCCTCCTTCTCTCTCTCTCTCTCTCTCTCTCTCTCTCTCTCTCTCTCTCTCTCTGTTTTGGAGACAAACCCATCTCTCATTATCTTCATCATCTACCTCTATTTTGTTCTCTATCATAGAGAATGCAGTTCCCTCTCCTCTCTCTCTCTCTCTCTATTTTTTTTTCTTTTTTCCCCCTCTTCCTCATTCACATACATACACCTATACCCACCCCCTCACCCTCTCATTTCCATCTCTGAACCTTCCCTCTCGTTTAATTATTATTATTATTCTTTTCTTTTTCCTTTTTTCTTTTCTGTTTTTCTTTCTTTTTTTTTTCTTTTTTTTCCAGATTTGTATTTGTTATTATCTCTATCTTTTCACATAAACATTCCTTCTTTGCATTTTTTTTTCCAATTCTATGGTTGATAAGATGACTATACCACACATAGGTACTAAAGTGAGACGACTTTTGTTTTCAATTTTTTTAGATCAATTTTCTTTAAATCTATTCAAGATTTTTGATGAGATGATTTCATGGAATAATACAATAACCAATGTCAAATTTGCAATTTGATGATGATGATGATGATGATGATGGTGATGGTGATTTGCAATTTGATAATGATGGTGGTGAACACTAGTTTTTTTGTTATCTATTGCTCGCCAGTTGTTGTTTGATTTTGTCTGATTCGACCACCAAGTTGATAACTGTCGGAAGCAGGTGAGTTTTTTTTCCATCTGATCTGATCAGGTCGAGTGACGGATTATTGGCAAAACTGAGCCAACTCGACCTATGCACACCCTTAGTTATAAGTGAAAATATCAGGGGGGGAGGACTCTATAAAAAGAGAAAGAGGTTGGAGAGAGAGGTATGTTCCACAAAACTTGCACTTAAAGAAACAAAAGACTCTTCTTCATAAAGCTAACTTGCTCATCAGAGTGCAAATTCCAGCACCACTGATCGGATTTATTTATTTTTTTGTTTCAGGTGACAACTCAAGGACTTGTTTGGATTAAAGGAGTATCACAAAATCATACCCCACAATTGGCGTCGTCTATGAGAATACTCAAACTCATCCATGGCAGACCTAGTTCAAGATCCTTTAACTGTTGGCAACGAAAATGTTCTACTTGGAGCAGTTTTCGGTTCGAAAAATCCTCCTGCACGAAGGTCTTTAAACTTTGATCCCATCACTCCTTCTTTGCCTTCAACATCAGCGGAAGACGCCATGCAAACCTTGATAGACCAAGTAAAGCGGAACGGGCAGCGTTTGGAGTATATGGCAGCTGATAATGAGCGGTTGCGCTAAGAACTGGCAAAATCCCAGCAATGCAACAACGTCAACCTCAACGGCATAATGATAGTAGCAGTACGTTAGACTCATCATGGAAGGGGCCTAAAAGAGAGGTTGAGTTGATCAATCTAGTTCATTAGATGGAGAAAGTTCTCCATAAACATGTCATTCACATAAAAAAGGAGATGATGATTCAGATTCGGAAGACAAGCAAAATCCTTTCATACGACGCATAGCCAATGCCCTTTTTCCTAAGAAGTTTAAAGCACCATCATTTACCCTTTATGATGCAAATCGAAGCCCACCGATCATGTTTGTCATTACAAGCTGTAGACATCCCATTTTTGACCGACCTTAAGACTCAGACGTCACCAACTGAGCGCTCGGTGATGTTGCATATTGTGCTCGTTCTGAGGTTGCAAAGTCTCGGCTGAGAGCCTTGCCTCCGGACTTCGGGACTCTTTTGTGCTTTGTCTCGATTTGCGAACCAGGTCCTGTTTTCTCTATTTTCTCTTCCCGAAGGGAAGGAGAGGTCTTGTAGACCATCTCTCAGCAGCCGTAGGCTACGTTTCGTGGTCGTAGGCCATTTTTCCCGTTCGGAGACCAGTTTCCGATTTTCAGAGTCGTCGGCCGTGTGCCTCGGTTCGGGACCGCTTAACTATCTCCGTTTGCTCCGATTTTTGGCACACACCTTGTTTCCTCTCCTTAGAGGGACACTGTGGCCCGGGAGACCACCTTCGGGGTCGCACGCCACTTTCGATGCTTAACAGTCAGTTTTCAAGGCACCCGGCTGCGCGTTTTGGCCCCCGAACCCTCGTTTTGCATCGGTTAGGGTTCATTTTTGGCATGGACCCTATTTTCATTGTTAGGAAGGTGGTACAAGGGTGAGAGACCACCTTTTCTCCTTGGAAACCAGCTTTCTCCTCGGGGACCACTTTTCTCTCTCCTCCAGCCAGTTTTCTTGTTGGGAAACGGGTCTCCCTCACTTTTGGGCCATAATTTCTGGTCTCCCATATCACCACTGAGTTGTATTCATCTGGGAGACCACCAATATGGGTAGGCCGACCAGCATTTCTTCCTGACCCTTTTGAACCTTGCTAGAAAGCTAGTTTTCCTCTCTCTTGGGCCACAATTTCTGATTTCCCACCGTTTTTCGGGGCCCCCGGCCGTGCGTTTTGACCCCCGAACCCTCGTTTTGCATCGATTAGGGTTCATTTTTGGCATGGACCCTATTTTCATTGTTAGGAAGGTGGTACAAGGGTGGGAGACTACCTTTTCTCCTTGGAAACCAGCTTTCTCCTCGGGGACCACTTTTCTCTCTCCTCCAGCTAGTTTTTTTGTCGGGAAACGGGTCTCCCTCACTTTTGGGCCATAATTTCTGGTCTCCCATATCACCACTGAGTTGTATTCATCTGGGAGACCACCAATATGGGTAGGCCGACCAGCATTTCTTCCTGACCCTTTTGAACCTTGCTAGAAAGCTAGTTTTCCTCTCTCTTGGGCCACAATTTCTGATTTCCCACCGTACCACTGTGTTGCATTCACCTAGGAGGCCACCTTTTCGGGTAGGCCGACCAGCTTTTTTTCTTGACCTTTTTGAACCTCGGTCGACCGACCAGGGCAAGTGGTCGGCCGACCACTTGAACTGGTTGGCCAGCCATCTGCTTTTTGTCTTTCCTGAGTGCAACACAACTGTGCCAGCTGGGAAGCATTTGACCCATCCTCCGGGATTTAGCCCCTTTGCTTGTCTTCTTAAGGAAGCTTTGGTCCTTTTGCTTAGCTTCTAGGAGAAGCTTGACCCTTTTGGTTAAGCTTCTTTTAGAAGCTTTGACCCTTTGTTGAAGCTTCTTAGAGAAGCCTTAGCCCTTTGTATTCTATAAGAGAGGGTCTCCTCTCCTTTTTCAAGGGTCAGAATTTTTGGCCTCAAGCTTATACACTTCTCACTCTATATCTCTCTCTTTTGCCTCCAAAAACTCCATTGTTCTTGCCCCATTACACTACCACTCATAGCACAACACCTCCACTACCATCCTAAGTAACTTGGAGCTATTTTTCAGAGGTTGAAGGCTCACTTTCTTGGTCCAGAGCTTGCTGCATTGCTGTGCTACAAGTGTAAGTCTCTATTTTTCCCATTTTGACATTGTTTTGCTCAAGAGTTTAGCTCTATTTGCAAGCATTTTTGGACTTCGACATAAACTGAAAAAAGACTTGT